ATACCCTTTGTCCACCTTCCCCCCCAGCAGTAGGTGTTCTCTACACATTTTCCTGTCTGATGGATGACAGTGGCATCTCATTTTTAATTTGATTTACATTTCTCTGACTACAACTGAGTTTGATCGTGTTTTCCTTGTTGAGAGGCCATCTGATTTTGTTCTTCTGTGACTTATTTATTCATATTCTTTGTTTTTTCCTTTTTGTTTTTTTTTCTTATCAATGTATAAAATGGCTTTATTATATAGGTATCAACTCTTACTGGTCATCTGCTTTGCAGTTTTTTCCTAAATCTGTCTGTTTATCGGAACTTTTGCCATGCAAAATGCTGTAATTTTTTCTGTGTGTGTGTGAGGAAGACCAGCCCTGAGCTAACATCTGGTGCCAATCCTCCTCTTTTTTCCTGAGGAAGACCGGCCCTGGGCTAACATCCGTGCCCATCTTCCTCCACTTTATATGGGACGCTGCTACAGCATGGCTTAACAAGCGGTGCGCGCCCAGGATCGGAACCAGCCAACCCTGGCCCGCCGCACCGGAGCGTGCGCACACTTAACCACTTGCGCCACTGGGCTGGCCCCCAAAATGCTGTAATTTTTATATAATCAAATATATTTCCCTTTTCTTTTGTTTTTTGTCACATGGTTAAGGTCTCCCCCATCCTGGATTATACACGTGGTCTCCTAGATTTTTTCCGAAGATTTTTGTTTTTTTTTAAATATTAATTTACCTGAAATTTATTTTTATATGTGATATGAAAGAGGAATTGTAACTTTTTTCTCTTCCAGATGGGTAGTCAATTGTCCGTCCCTATATATTAAATAAATTCCCCACTAAATTGAAATGCCACCTTTATCATATATCAGTGGCCTTACAGTACATTTAGAAAATTTTGTTTTTTATATTTGTCTTTAATCTATCTGGAATTGCATAAAATTTATTAGTTTTTGGAGAAAGCTGTTAAGCTTTCCCATCCCCGAATGTGTAGATTGTCTTTTCATTTGTTCAGATTTTATGGCCTTAACAAAGACTATGTAGTTTTCTTCATGCGTGTCCTGTCTTCCTTGTTACCTTTTTTCCTTAAATATTTTATACGTTTGTAACCGTTGTAAATGGAGTTTTCCCCTTTATTTCCATTTCTGGATACTAATTGGTAGTGTAAAGAAAAGCTGTTAATGTTCGAATATTTATGTTATATCAAACCACTTTACCTTATTTTCTTATTAATTTGGGTAGTTTTCTTATTAGAGTGTCTTGTGTTTTCTAGGTTTTCAGTGATATCAGCAAAAGAGAAATAGTTTTATCTCCTTATATTCAATGTTTAAACCAATTATTTCATTTTCTTATTCCATGGGCCAGAACCTCCAAGATGGTGTTAACTAATAATTGTGATACATCCCTTTCTAGTTGCTGATATTAATTGAAATGGTTTTAATATTTCATCTTTTGGAATAATTGTGTTTTTGGTAAATAGTTTTATCATTTATTGTAGTCTTCTATTCCTTTTATTAAAAATGGTCATTGAGTTTTAGCAGATGTTTTTTTCAGCATCTACTGATAGGATTGTATGGCTTTTAAACACTCTGACTGAGATGCATTAGAGTGCATTGTGCTGTGAAAGGTGTTTGGAGTGGTGTTGCCGTCATCCTGTTCCTTTTTTTCCCTGCTATATCATAGTGCCTTCTTATATGGTAGAATAATAAACTCCAGATTCTTTGTGTTTAGAATTTGGTTATAATTGTATATGCTGCTAGATATTACTTTTCAAGTCGGCAGAATCTAAAGGTGAAATACCATGAAACGTTTATGTTCTTAAGTGAAAGGGACTCTTGTTTTCTTTTTTGTACTGTCTCTATCAGATTTTGGTATCAGTTATGTTGGCTTTACAAAAAACTAACATTTTTTTTTCTGTTCAGAAATAGCTTAAATAACATAGTGATTGTCTACTGCTTGAGATTTAGGGGGCCTGCTGCCTTTTGTTTTTTTGAGTGGTAGGTCTTTAACAGCCTTTCAGTGTGTTCTTTACTCATTGATCCAGTCAGGGATTTTTCTTCTGTAATCAGTTTTGGATATGTGAATTTTGCCATACAAGTCATTCACGTTTTTTGAATTATCAAGTGTATTATGAAGTGAAATCTCTTTGGCATTCACATGTTTGGGCGTCTTTTTTTTTTTTCTCCTTCATGGTGTTTACAACCAAGCCTAAGTAATCTAATTGTAACACAAAATGGTAGATGGGAGGATGGAGAATACAAAAGTGGTGTTGAACATTCTCTGAGGAAATGGCCTTGTGCTCCTGTAACCCTGCTTGACAGCATTCTTGCTCAGGCCCTTCAGCCAAAGTACCCCAAACTAGCTTAGTCTTTTTTATATGTCACTTTCTCTTTGTGCTCCTTTAAACTCCTTATAATCCTTGTAATCCTGTCAACTAAGATGACCCTCAAAAAAAGGGAAAAAAAGAAACCTACCCCAAAACATAAGACAAAAATACAGAATCAGGGGTAATCTGTATTGGGGGTAATCATACATTAAAATAGTCCCTGGTTTCTGGATTCTTTCAGAATCTTACGTGTGGCTTTCCCTTCTTCCAACACAGCAAGTCACACTCTGCTCCTTTCTGATTACTCTGTATATTTAGGTTGTGGTTTTTTATTTGTTTTGTTTTTAATTTTTGAATAAGTAGTCCTTTTTGTTTGTTTCTCAACCATGTGAATATAGATCTATATTATTGATTTAGAAAGATAAGTAGGATGTATTTTTAAAGAAGCAAATCACATAATAATATGTGTAGTATTTTATTTAAAAAACAAATTAAACCTTAAATACGTGAATGTTTGTATAAGCATATAGAAATATATGGAAGCTTTTTACTTTGATGAGTCGGTTGCGGGGAGGAAATTATCATTTTTTAATTATATATTTCTGTATTACTTATATATATTACTTTAGTAACTTTAAAAAGATTTCTTTCAAAAATATCTTGATCTGGTTTCAGCACTTAATTTCATTCTTTTCTTTCATAACTGAATGTGATCAGCTACAGTAAATCTGGTTCATGTTAGATAAATCAAGATAATTACCTTTTTTGGCAATTATTTACCTTTGGTTTCATCTTTCCTTTAGTTTTCTTAACTGGCCTCTGTATTTTGATTAGTTTTAATGTTTTCACTCTTTAGTTTTCTATTAAATTTTATAAAGGACAAAATATAATGAAACTGGTTTTCAGACTCTTTTTTTTTTTTTTTTTT